GGGCTGGCGTGCGGGCGCCGGGGCTGGGCGCCGAGCCGCCGTCGTTAGTTTCCAGCCCGAGGTGGGCGGGTACTTTTCCAGCCCTCCCGCTCAGCTTTAGTGTAGACAGCAAGGGGGTCGGATTCTGTGCCCTACGCTCCTCCCGTGTGCCAGTGCCCGTGGCTGCTTTCCCTTGCCGTCAGACGTGAAGCCTCCCCCGCCTGCACGCACCTGCACGCACAGCTGCTGCAGCCCCTGCACCGCCGTGTTCCCGGCCAGCGCTTTCTCTGGCCTCAGGTTCCGCCCAGGTGCACGCTGGTGGTTGTGTCTGGGTCTTCCCTCTAGTGACTGACGCGGACTTGGTGCTGCGTCCTCTGGCCACGTCTGAGCTCAGGGTCAGGCGTTCCTTTGGTGGTACCCGAATGGCACTCCGAGGTGGCCTGGGGGCCAGCGCAGACAGGCGGACCTGGTCCCCATGGGGCCTCTGTTGGGTTCTGCCTCTCCCTGGCCCGGTGACTTCCAGTCTGGCCATCCTCACGTGTAACGCGGCTCCTGGGACGTTGCTGAGAGCATTGGCTGTCAGAGTCAGACTGTGCCGTGAGTCCAGCAGTGACGGTAGCTGTCTTTCCTTCATGGAGTAAGTGCAGTGAGGCTGAACCCCCAGCATTGAGGTGCCCACCTCACATGGCAATGTTCAATTTTCCCAATTTTTCTACAGTCTAGTGCAAGTCCTTTAACTATTCCCTGCTTTTCTTTTCTTTATTTTTTGTATTCATTCATTTATTTTATTTTGACCAGCGAGAGATACAGAGAGAGGGAGGGAAAGGGAGAAAGCAAGCCACCAGGTCTGTATTCATTGGAACCACGGTGGGCCATGTGGGAGTGTCCAGCGCCTTAACGACCACGCCACCTGCTGGTCCCCTCTCTGCTTTTCTTTACCTGTAAGATGTGGGTAATATGCCTGGGGTGTGGTCAGGACTGAGTGAGTTAACACATTAGTGGGAAAGTGCCTGATGGGTGCTGAGTGCTCTGCGGATATGTTTGTCGTCATTATCGAAGGCTTTTTCAATAAAGAAGTAACAAGATCCAACTTTCATTGTGAAAATATTGCCTTGTGCTGATGTGAGGATTGGATTGGGACAGAGTGCAAACGGAGAGACTGGTGCAGAAGAAATGAGTGCATGCCGTGTTCAGGTTGTCAGGAAATCCCATTTTGATCTCACTAGCATAGCCAGCAAAGGGAAAAACTTCATCGGGGGTCCTTGTCAGGATACTGAAGATCTTGAACAAATGCCCGTGAATACATGTAATTTCCTTCAGTAAGTACAAGGTGTTTCCAAGAAGTTCGTGGGAAATGTATGTTAAGAACAAGTTATGCACGGACGTCAATTTTTTTTTTTTTTTTATGAAAACAAACTCATACTTTCATTACATTTTCAATGAGCTTTTCTGAAGTTTTATTCATTCTGTCTTTTTTTTTTTCTTGGAGAGATTTTTTTTGCTATAGGGCTCATGTGTTCACCAGAAAGACAGAAAGAGACAGAAAGCAGGAAATCACCCCCCAGGGGGGATGGCCACATCGCAATCCCTTCTCCATTCTCCTCTTGGGATCTTGGGCATGCACGCACGCACACGCGCCTGGCATGAGTTTTAAGCCACCGGGTCCAGGACGCGAACCACAGTCGACTATGTGGGAGTCCAGCGACATAGCCATTACGCTAACTGCTGGTTCCCTAAATTATTTTCTTTAACTTTATCCATTTATTTATTTATTTTAATTTGACGAGAGAGGGATAGAGTGAGAGAGAGAAAAAATGAGAAAGTAAGCCACCAGGTCCAGGACTCAAACTGGTTCACAATGTGGGAGTACAGTGCTCTTAACCACCACACCACCTGTGGGCCCCAAATTTTTTAAAAGAGATTTTAAGAATTATTTAGCTTTATTTATGTATTTATTTAAATTTGACCAGAGGGACAGAGTGAGGGAGAGAAATTGAGAAAGCAAGCCGCCAGGTCTGGGACTCTAACCCTGGTCAGCCATGTGGGAGTCCAGAGCCTTTAACCACCACCTGCCAGCCCTCTCCCCCACCCCTGCGTGAGTTTTAAAGCCTCTGTCTGGGTCTGGGACTCGAACCACGGTTGACTACATGGTAGTCCAATGATGTAACCTACACCATCTCCTGGTCCCATTTTGTTTATTTGTTTGTTTGTTTTAATCTGAGGAAGTTCTTAGTGGAAATAGAAAAAGATCACCCTGAGGAAGTAAGTTAAGTATTAATAATCTCTTTCCCCAGTTGGTTATTTTGTTTCCTGAGGTCCTGAGGATTGGCCTCTGTGGAATGTGCTTGTTCTTTAGGGCAGCCACTTTGTGTTCTTCATACCTTATAAGTCATTATTACCCCCCCCTCCAGTGTCAGGAGATTCCTTGGTTGATGGGGAGTTATAGAGTAGAAGGGGTAGCTTTGAGTGACATGTTGTTTAGGCCAGGGTGGGGCACTGTCCTCTCCCCCAAGCAGCACAATCGCATAGACCCCAGTTGTGAGAGACCCGTGTGAGTCTCCCCGGAACAGCACTGGACACCATCTGCAATCTAGGCCTCCCTTACTCCCACCAACCCCCGCCCCAGTGGTTGCTCCCTTTAGATGTGAGAGGTCACCTTATTTATTTATTTTTTTTAGAGAGGATTTTGCTATAGGGTGCGTACACTCGCTAGAAAGACAGAGACAGATAGAAAGTGAGAGATAACCCCCCAGGGGGGATGGCCATGCCGCAATCCCTTCTCCTCCATTCTCCTCTTGGGATCTTGGGCATGCACACATACGCACCCGGTGTGAGTTTGAACAACTGGGTCCGGGACTCGAACTGCGGTCGACTACATGGGGTCCAGCGACATAGCCATTATGCTAACTGCTGGTCCCGAGAGGTCACCTTTGAGGTCAGTTAACTCCCCTCTCATTGGCTTGATGGGTTGAACTCAAAGGAGACCTATCTGTCTACTGTCCCTGTAGTCGCAGGTGGCAGCCTTGAGCTGGCCAGGGCCAAGCAGCTCGGTGTCCAGTCCCGAGAGTCCTTGGAGCCCTGGAATGGGCTAGGGAGGGGGTGAGAAGTAGGGATCTTTTCGGGCTCTGGTTCTGGAATGCCATCGCGTGTTTCTTTGTTGAAATAAGGTAAGGGAAATGGAGACCTAAACACAGAAAGGAAGAAAAGAGTTGTTACGTAATGTGGAGGGGGAGAATTGCTTTCCAGTGAAACATCTGCACAGGTAAAAGTATGACACCTTAGAATCTTGTCTGCTTTGGTCTCTAAAGCACCTAATTTAGAGTGGTCCTCGAATAAACTAACCCCCCCCCCCTTTAAAAACGACCTCAGCCGTAGCCCAGGAACCTAAAAGCTACTGTAGCCCAGCCCTCCTCGGACAGTCACTCTCCCTGATCATGTGTGCCAGGTCCCCAGTGGGCCTTTGCTCTCTTGCCTGCTTGCAGGCAGATGCAGGGGGGTGCACTGCTTTGCTGACCTAGGTGGGCAGTTAAGAGACTTGCTCAAAACCTCCCTTGCCCCTCCCAAATTTCAGTGAGGACAAAAGTGCAGAATGTGTTTGGGAACATCAGTTGTATGGGGAGGAGGCTGCTGGCAGAAGTTTGGGCCAGGCCGGAGGCTCCCGTAAAGGGCTGGACTTTGTTAGGGAGCCCTCAGAGGTTCTTGGGGGCACGGGGGGGGGGGG